TCACTTGCAAATCGGCAAATTTCTGTTGATGTTCCGTTCGGGCTGCATGTCTCCATCGAAAGTTTTCGCTTCAGTGGCAGTTGGTTTCAGCTTTGCTTTCCCAAGCACCACACGAGAGTCCGACAGAGTTGATCCGGCACTGGTCTTTCGGTTTGACGTCGACGGTTGACTAACTACTGGAGCTCCCAGTTTTTGACCAACCAGAAAATATTTATATTTCAGCGACTAAAATAATTTTCAATCGCTGAATTATCCATTACAATGTTCAAAACAGACTTTTAATATCTGAATGAGTCAAAATCTGAAGTTGTGTTAGTTGCTTCAGAGAACGAAAATAGCTGTTGTTAGGCAGAAGCACTCACACTGAGTGCGTTTGGCCGTTTTTCAGGATTCCACTGCATCATATCGGCCATCAGCTTTTGACCCTCATCGCTCACGGAGTTTACGACAGTCGCAAGCGGTGTCGGCACAGTTTGTTGGAACTTAAAATTCATTGCGGCAGCTAACTGATAACCTTCCGGCCAATCCTCCTGCAAAGATTTAAATCCACAAAATGCTGATCACAAGTTTTGAGGCCAACACCTGGTTCAAACAGCCCTTTTGTCAAGTACATTACGCTTACCACGTCCTGTTGGAATCCACTTGCTGAGAAGGCGAGGGGAGCGATTTTTGCTGCTTTTTAATACTCAGAGGGCCTGACTCTCTTTCTTACTAACTGGGCACGTCACCATACTGAGCATCAAAAGTTTCAAATAAGATGTATTTCCCCAATTCAGCTTTTTCCGAACAGCTTCCAAGTACTCATAACGCTACTCATCACTTTTTTTCACGCTCTTACTATAGTTATAAATATACTTGGAAGTCAGGTACGAATTGCAACAGTACCACACCAAACTTTTTTAATATATGCGTTATTTTTTAGATGAATTCAAACTCACCTAGCAAATTGTCAGAGTTTTTCCCGAAAAACGTGAAAAACTAGAATGTACCTTATTGGGTGTCCCCAGAATAGTAATTATTTTGAATAACTGATCTAGTTCGGAAGTCCCAGGAAATAGTGGCCTCAGCATATACAGTTCTGCCATTATGCAGCCAAGAGCCCAGATGTCAATTGGTGAGTTGTAGGAGGTAGAACGAAGAAGAATTTCCGGCGCTCGATACCTGTAAAATGATACGTAACAAAACAGTTTGGGATGGCTTAGCATCAACTCAGTCTCTGTAGCTTTTTAGGCTGTGTCAAAGACGGAACCCTTTTTTGCAAATGATTATGAACAGGGAGGGAAACGAATCACTCATTTTCACTATTTCCAGTTCTCTCGAATCGTATTGTGTTATCCATTACATAATTGATCCTCTTCACAAGAGCACTTATATCTGCACGAGTACTACGAGCCTACGTATTACTTTGCGCTGTCCTAGGGCTGCCATCATGCTCAATACACCATCAATTCCTATCAGCTTTTCGCGGGATTTTCGCGACAAGGAAACTGTGGTGTAAAAAATTCATCACCTGCCAGCCCTTGCTCCACTGCTTATGCAGTTACCTCTAGCAAATGATCAAAGTAGCCTCTGTCTCAAAATGTCTTCAGCAGTTCCAAAAAGAGGAGCAAAAGTGAAAAAAGAATTATACCAGCGAGTGGAAACATAATCCGTATATGGCGGCCGAGAGCGAATTTCACGCGCTAAACCAAAATCAGCAATTTTGACAAGCTCAGTTCCGTTACACATAATGTTTTCCGGCTTCATATCGCGATGAAAGAAACCTGTAGTGCTTACTTCAAAGTACTCTTGCTTCTTACTGCAACTCAGTTTTGTTTCGTATCAGATTTTTCGCAAGAAAAGACAATCATTTTCCCCAGACTAAATTTTTTACAAGTTTTTCGTCGCAACTTTCTGGTCTATGGAAATCAGATTTTATCATGTGGTGAAAACTTGTAGGCCGGTTTTCGGTGTATCCCTTTGCGACACATGACAACTAGACTTTGTCAGAACAGCAGCGTCCAGAATAACATCACAATAAAGCGAGAAAGTGAAGTACAATAGGCAGGAGCAGGGTATGTTGATGGCCTTGCCGAGAACGGCCGATGTTGCGAATTAGCGAGTGGTACCGCAAGAAAGAAGGCTGCTCGGGCGGTGGTTCGAAAATACTAAATTGAAGCATGTAAGGCAGAATTTGAAGGACCTGACACAGTTGCAGTCGACGTACGGAAGCATTCTAGTAACATCATTAACATGAGATATCTAATACTTATGCCCAGGTGGCTATGGTATTCTTAGTGAGAACGGTAACTGAATATGAGTTAAATTTTTTGAGAAAGAATAATCCAACTTCCAAAAAGTTGGAATTTCTCCAAATTTCACTACACATGAAAGACACAGACAATGCACAAAGTGGCATCACGATGTTAAAAACAATCACTCTTTGATAGGGTTGCCGGCGACTACTTCCAAGAAATGCTCAAAAACAAGGGTGTGTCAAAGAGATGTTGTGTTTCAGTGTTCTTCGAAAAATCTTAAACACCTTTGTGTCTTAAGAATAGAGCTAACCATTTTTGTGCATATACGCCAATCCTTGCAAAACTTGATAAATTATATTACGTATAATATGTTCCGGAAAATAGCGATCCCTGGAAAATCGCTTTCTTGATTTTGTTTCGCTCATTCACATCACAACGTATCAGTTGCCGCTTCCACCCTCACTTATTCAGCATTTATTAAGAATCGTACAATCTGTTCTTTTCACCGCATATCTTCTGTAAAAAACCCAGGCTGGAATCATTAAGCTTGCCGGTGCGATCATGCGTTTTTGCACCGGACTTGAATTACTCAGGCCATTAATTGCGCGAATTTTTATTGCTCTACACCTGTCTTTTGCGCTCACTAGTACAAATCATCGTAAATCTTGCATAAAGGAAATGAACAATTTCTGTTTAACGATCGTTCTTTGAAAATTAGGTAGCTTTTCATCGGGCAGTTTTCCCGCCAAAACTTTTAGGTTCCGTGTGTGAGAAACACGCATATTCCGAGGTTAAATTTGAAATATTTGAGTTGCACTTGGACAGGGAACGTTACCCTAAAATTCCAGCTTTTCAACTTTTCTGGTTCCTGGTTTGTTAATTTCCTCACCAAAAATTTCGCATGACTGTACATGAGTACCACGAGTACCGGAGGGCTGACTTTGAAATTTTTAAGTTGTACGTGTACGGAGGATATACTCTTAAAATATTAGCTTTCTAGCTTTTCTGATTGCCGAGTCAGTAGTTTTTCCGGCAAAACTTTCGCGCGCTTATGAATGAGAACCACCTAGGGGCTGAATTTGAAATCTTTAGCTCAAATTTGCACAGGGAATATCACTGCTAAGTTTTAGCCCTTTGTCCTTTCTGGTTCCCGAGATCACTTTGCCGCCAAAAAATTCGCTAATTTTTTCAAGGCGTCCGTACGTGGCATCCAGGCATATGAGGGTAAGTATATTAAAACGGCAGAGTCGTACATAGTTTAGGCAAATACTTTCGAAGTTTCAGCCTTTTAGCTTTTCTGGTTCTCGACTTGAAGATGGGTGACAAAAAGTGCGAATACACACAGGCAGCCTCTTGGCAACAAGCTTTTTTGCATTTACATATGTGCAAAAACACATAAAAACTGCTTTGGGAGCATATCCGCAACGTCATTAATACGGGAACCTCATGTCGAATATTTGTGTTGTTTTGATAATCGCAATAAAAAAAAGGGATGAAATAAACAAATCTAAAGTTCTAATTATTTCGCTACCTTTTAAGCGAAAAGGTTGAACTATACTTAGCGCTATTAGTTTTCATTTTTCGATCTTTTTTAGCAGCTTTTACAAAAGAATTTTTGCAATAAATTTGAACTTTTTTAACAGTTTTAGCGAAGTCTTTACATTAAATTTTTTCAGCGCAAATATTCTGTGCTAAAACTGCTAAGAAAAGTCAAATAAAAGAAAGATAACAGGGATTTTTTCAAAAAAATTTCATTGTGAAAAGAATTTCTTGTGCTGCTGCAGGAATGTGCTGCCTCAAAATTAAAATTTCGGAGAGAATCGGAAATTTGGGACTTTTGAAACACCTGTTTTCTTAATTCATCCTCAGTAAGACCACGCTTTGAAATCACAGTCAAAACAATCGGCCAGACTGCAGTACGCTAGCTACTTAAATCATCAGGACACAAGCAAACAATTTTACCTATCCTTCATTAGTTCATACAGATTTTCCTGCATATATTCGAATACG